TTTTTAGCTAATATATATCTCAAAGTCTAGGAAGAAGTCTACATAAGAGAAAGAACGAAGAAATAAAGAGTTGCACCATAATGCAACACTTGAGTAAAAGAATTAAAAACTTGACATAATGGAGAAAATTTTCGATAAGAAATTATCGAACTTTGTCTTAATAGTAGAGTCTTAATAGTAAAGTCTTACATTACCACTTCAAGAAACAATGATCTTGATCTCTAAAATGTTTGAATTAGCATAGTAGATCGTAGACGAGTGGCTAGGTCGCACAACCTACAAGAGCAAGAGCAACTTAGTGTTATAGTGTCTAAGTACGTGATCAACTCAACGTTTAGTTTACAAAGTATAGAAGTAGTTCAGTGTTCCGACACTAGAGCACATGAGCAAGAACAAACCAGCCTTCCATTGTCAAGTACAAGAGAAATTCGGCATTCTAGTACTCGAGCGGTAATTCAACGCATATTTGAGTATAAAAAGAGCACGAAGAACAAAAGAAGCTTGGCATTATAGTGCCCGAGCATTAAAAAAATAATACAGGAACCAATGTCAGGTTCAAAGGAGCTCGGCGTTATAGTTAGAGCTGTCAAAATGGGTAACCCGGCTCGACTCGACCCGACTTACCACGGGTTGGTCAATTAGTGAGTCAACCCAACCCTGCTCACTTATTAGCGAGCTGAAAAAATTCTAACCCACCCCGACCCACCACGGGTTGGTGGGTTAAATGGATTGGCTCACTAGCTTACTTAATTATATATTTTTTTTAAATAAAAAAATTATAATTTTTTTTAATTTAAATCTAAATAAATTTCACTTTAAAATGATGTTAAACTCCAAAGACAATTTAAAAAAAAACAAATATCATACAATCCAAGCGTAATCCAAAAACAAACACAAAAGGCAAATAAATAAGTTTTTAATATTAATAGTTTTTGTATCACTTGTCTATCTATATTATTAGAGTCCTAAATAGATAAATTATAATATTTTTCTTTCTCGAAACATCTTTTTTTATCTCGTCTACAATATAATAAAAAAATGTTAACTAATAATGTTGAAACACAAAACAATAAATAATTAAATTAAATTAGGTGGGTTGGTGAGCCAACCCAACTCACCACGGGTTCAACCCGCGTGAGCCGGGTTCTAAGTGAGTCGGGTTGAAAACTAACTCGCATAAAAAAATTACATTTTTTTCAAACCCAACCTAGCTCAAACCCGAGGTGAGTCGGGTCTACTCATGGGTTACAACCCATTTTGACAACATTAGTTCTAGTACTCAAGTACAAAAGCACATCAGAATCCCAACAATCTAACACTTAAGCACTAGAGCAACTCAGCGTTCAACTTAACCTAAGTCCAAAAAATAAAATAGCTTAGCATGAAGATGTTTAGAACAAGAGTAAGTCGATAGCCCAATATAGGAGAAACTCATACCTGAGTATAAGAAGAGTTTAGTGAGCAAGAGATTAACTCTTATGTACAATGTCTGAGCACAACAACAAACTCATCATTCCAGTATCCAAATGCAGAAGTAAACTCGGCAGTCTAATGCCCGAGTACAATATCAGCTCGATAATATAGTGTCGAGTACAAGAGTACTTTAGTAAATACATGAATACTTTAGTGAGTACAAGAACAACTTGACATTTCAGTGACCAAGTATAGTAGAAGCTCAACATTTTAGTGACTAAGTACATAGAAGGTTAGTGTTTTAGTGACTGAGTATAATAGAAGCTTGGTTTTTCAATGACTAAGTACAGTAGAAGCTCGACTTCACAATGATCGAGTACAGTAGAAACTCAACATTTTAGTGATTGAGTACGAGAATAACATGACATTCTAGTACCTAACTAGAATAGAAAATAACAATCTGGCATTTCTATACTCGGATCCAAGAAAGAACGGCGTACAGGGCACACCTAGTTTTAAGAAAGTTCAATTATAAAGCATAAAGCTTGCATCCAACCAAGACGAATCGTATTTCATTATGGATCCCCTCCATAACAAAGCCTAAGGGTAGAAAAAATTGATGAAAATCTAATCAAGGTCACCTCAAGAGTATATAAGCAAGAAGACAAACGTCCACCGATAGAATGCCTAAGATGGCACAAAGGTAAACGTGAAAGAGATAAGCAAACATTTTATTTCCAAAAACATTTAATAGGGATCTTTCATTTGTTTAATTATTCATTTTTTCTCCTTTATGCTAACAGTGATTGTTAGTTAGCGGTACCACAACTATGATCACACCACTTAACTAAGCAAAAATAACCATGAAGAAAGGAAGGGAAAACAAAGAAATTTGAAGGACAAAAGAACTTGCAAGAGCAAGAAAGACAGCTGGTGTAATAGCAATGATAAGTCCACAAAGGTAGCAACAATAAAAGTTTGTGGAGGTGCAACGATAAAGTCCATAGAGATGGCAACGAGAAAAGTCCACAAAGGTGGCAATGAGAAAAATCCACGGAGGTGACAACGAGAAAATTCCACAGAGGTGACAATGAGAAATGACAATAGAGGTGACAATCAGAAAAGACCACAAATGTGGCAATGAGAAAAGACCATGGACGTGGCCCCTAAGCTCTTAGGCAACATCACAAGCCCTCTAAGCGAGACACTGGTCTACTTCACCAAGTACCTGAGTACGAGAGAATCTCAGTATTCCACTACCCGAGTACAAGAACAGTTTGGCATCCCAATGTCCAAGCACAAAAAGCAATTCAGCGTTTCTAATAGCCGAGTATAGGAATAACTCGACATCCCAGTGCCCGAGAACAAAAAACAATTTAGCATTCCAACATATGGGTAATTTGACCTAAGTACATGAGCATGTAACAACTCGGCATGACAATGCTCGAATATAGAAACAAAAGCAAATCAACATTCCAATACTAGAGTACACGAGTTGTCCATTGCCCCGAGTCTAAACTAGGAGTAAAGAAGGTGGCCCATCTCTTTTTCCAAACTCTCAACATATAGATCGTTAAGCCACTAGTCAATTATTCTTGATAAAATTTGAAAATAAGTCAAAATGTTTCTTTAGCTAAAACAAAGTTAATTAATTAATAAAGAAATTAATCAATTATTTTTTGAAACACCTTTTTTGTTTATCATTTAATCTCTTAATAAAGGAGATAATAGGTTATTTTAGGACATATCAATAACAATTTGATCAATTACATAAAAAATTAACTCATTAAAACAAACTCAAAGCCTTTTCACATACTTTTTAACCTTTCAAAAATAATTTCTCTTAATTAATTTTAAAATTGATTGTATGCTAAACTAAAATTCTTGTGAGTATATTGTATTTAAGACTCTCAAATACATGCAATAAATAACTGACCACGGTTTAATCATAGTGAAATAGTATTAGGAGACAAACTCCTAATTAAGGATGACAAAAATATTCACGTCCAATGAGTTTTTGTGATAAAATTTGTGATGGATAATAGGTATCTGCGGATATTTATTACCCGTAGATATCGGGTAACAAATATTCCAATACTCACTTATAAACAAATCGAATGTGACTATTATATTACTCACACCTACATGTATCTATTACCATAAAAAATAAAAAAAAAATAATTCATATTTTATTAAGTTAAACATAATTAAAATTAAAATTAATTTAAATTATATTATATTTTATATATCTTTTTTATTTTATTTAAATTTTATTTTAAAAATGATAAAATATTTTTATTTTTAAATATTTGCAAATATTTAAGATATCAGCAAGTTTTAAAATATCCACGTATACTTTTTAAAATGATATCTAAGTAGATAATAAATTATTTTGTTACTGAATAACTTATTTTTATTTTGTGTGATCATATGTTCTTAAAGTAAGACTAGCATTCTTCATACTTTATTTTGTCAGATGATAATTAAGAGTATTGAGCAATTAATGGTGAAGATTCTTTAACTTGAGTTATGTATTGCATGTATGTAAGAGTCTTACATACAAATACTCACAAGAATTTTAGTTTAGCATACAATCAATTTTAAAATTAATTAAGAGAAATTATTTTTTAAAGGTTAAAAAACATGTGAAAAGGCTGAGTTTGTTTTAATGAGTTAACATTTTATGTAACTGATTAAATTGTTATTGATATGCCTTAGAATAATCTATTATCTCCTTTGTTAAGAGATAAAAAGACAACTTAAATTTGAATTTCGTTTAGAGAAATTTTAATATAATTAAAAATACTTGAAATTTAATTGAAATAAATATCTTTTAAAAATATTTTATTTAGATAACAATTTTGGTTTCTTAAATCCCATATGCGAAATTATTATATACTTATACATATTTTCTAAAAAAAAATAAAACTTTAATACTAGGCCCCACATATTAACATCAGTCCGCGAGGATAATGTCCTTGCACGTCTCGTGAGATTTGATTAAATATGACAACCTAACATGACACATTTATTGTCGTCAACTTTTTCCCACACTTCTATAATATCACTCTATAATTCAAAATATCACTATACAATTTAAAATATATTTTTTGTTTAATATTTTAAAATACATAATAACATATTTTAGACAGTACATTCCAAAATACAAAATTATACTTCAAAAATTATAAAATACAAAAGTTTGTGAAAATCATTTCAAAACATTCAAATTTTGACTTTTAAGCTTGTTTGGGGCAATTGATTTCAACTTTTATTTTAAATACAAATATATTAGAAAATGAATTCTGGATAAAACTGGTTTTCAAATAAAATAATTTTATATTCAGATGATTTGTTTTTAAAACTAATAGTAAATAGTAAAATATAATACGAAGATGTTATCTTCTGCACAAAATTATCTAAAATTACTTCAGCCCAAAATTACTCAATATAATGCCAAACATATAGATGTTCATCCAAAATCACATTACCTATAATGAATGTCTAACATGATTTTAGATTATCTAAACATTAATAAACGTGCAATCACTTAATCGATACCGCAAAATCCCAAAGAAAAAAACCGTTACCGCAGAAGGGTCAAAGGCTATTTGCATTGTTTTTTCAACCTCGTATAACAATTTTTAATATGGAATAAGATCTCAAAGAAAGAAATGAAAAACAGAAACAGAAAACAAAGCCTGCTTTTATTAGTGTACAACAAGCACGCAGCTCTATGAATGTGCTTCAATTCCTCTCTTGTAACTTGGCACCGTCATACTTCATTCTTTGTTCATGTTTCCCATGCAGACATATTTTATCTGGAAAAGTAATATCAAGCTTCAACAATATCACACGTAATAATGTAAAGAATGAGGTAACAAAATGAGGTGCATGCATTGTTCAAACATAAATCCTGTTCCGGAAAGCATATTCCATAATGTATTTCATGTGTTCCGCAAATCCTATTCTAGAAATCTTAGTCCAGAAATTCTGGATGTTACTTTTACAAAGTGTAAAATGGTCATTTTGAAATTTAGGGGGTTGAGGAAAGAATTTGTGGGAGTGAAGGAAGAAAAAACCTACTTTAAACCGCAACCGAGTGTTACAAAGCTTGAAGGAGAAAAGTTGCACGAGTACAATCAGCATGGACTTTGAAGAAATTTTGTTTGTAGAGTAAAATTATAGAGCTGAAAAATTTTCCGTACCTCTAAATATTCATCCATTCCATATTTGGAGCCTTCTCTTCCGAGCCCGGATTGCTTAAAACCACCGAAAGGAGCCACCTACATCAATGCATAGGCATAGATAAACCCATCAGAAATACATCATTGCAACTTAATCTCGTTGAATAAGGAATGGGACGCACCTCAGTTGAAATTACTCCTTCATTAACACCAACAAGTCCATATTCTAGAGCCTCTGCTACACGCCATGATCGTTGGATACTGTTCGTAAACACGTATGAACCCAAACCTTCATATGTACATGTGGTTTCATGGTGAAAAACATTTGACAAAGTTAAACCAAGAGAAACCAGATTGGTCAAAACTAGAAACATTTAAATGGCAGCATGGGAGGGGGCCAAAAACCATTCTTTTCCAAAAGAAGAATCAAGCTAGAAAATATAGTAAACAAGAACTACCTGCGTTGGTGTCGTTAGCAATTCTGATAGCATCCTCTTCAGTTTTGAATCTCAAAAGGGGTGCAACGGGTCCAAATACTTCCTCTCTGGTATAACACAAATCATATAGAGGAATTAACCAGAGAAAAAACTCCACTGAAAATTGAAAACAAAATTCCTTTTGACTATGACAAGGCAAAGTGATATGAAACTATACTAAAATTTCTGGAAATATGCAACAATAAATTGCATTAGTTACATTGGTTTGAAACCTCATATCAGCAAAGTCAGGTGCAAGCTAGCTTTTCAGAAGATATACAAACAATGAAATGAAACGATTCAACAATTTTGCAGTTTCGTTTCTACAAAACTCATTCGCAGTTTGAACTTCATAAAGACTAACCTTGTGTATATAAAAACGCATCTATAACCCCAGAACATCCAGTTTATTTATCTTAAAAAGAAAGAAAAAGCAGTTCACAAATTATCTGTAGTGACAGGGAAACTATAATTCCCGAGTCAAGAATTAGAATATAATTAAGGAAGTCTTTACCCAAAAATCTAGGGTGATCAACTGGGAAGGGACTACAGGTGATTGAGTGGAGTTTGATTAAGGAATGTGAGAATGACAGTGACAGAATATGCTGATAATAATAGCTGGGGGCGTTTGACACATGTTGTTAAGAGTCCCAAGTGGTACTTTAAGCCTTTAGGCTCTCCCACCTAATGGACTAGTTTCTAGGATTGGGCTCTCTTCTTATGTTAAGGCATACATCCGTTTTACATAGTGTCTTACACCCTATATCTCTCTAATTCTCTGATAAAAGCTTTTCTAACACTATCATTGTTAGAAAAGTCTAATAGATACAATATGGATACCAACATAGTACATCTATATAGGTCAGACAGGCAATACTATGAATAAGTTAACCAATTCTAACAAGTTAACCCATCCAAATAAGTTACACAATTCTGACAGAGAAAACACATAATATCCAGTTTAGAGTAGTTATAAAGTGCTTTAGAGCTGATTAGGTATTAGTTTGAATTCCTCTAAGCTTGTTCGCATATAACTGAGTATGCACTGGCACTGCAAGCATCCTACTCTCAATGAAAAGTATTCTCTCATTGCAGATTATTGGACATAGTCTCCACTCCTGAAGCTATATTTCTAACAATCCATAAGCATGGGCATTGAGCATATTAAAACAAAAAAAAAAAAAACTTTGAATTTTCAATAACAATTATGTTGATCTTATCTTATTCCTGACTATTTAAGAAATTTGAAATTTGAATTCACTAATATAATGCATGGGCACCAGATATCTAAGGTGCAGCATCCATTAAATTAACAAGGCCAGATATTATAATATACCAAAGCTCAGGTATGTTGTGCGAATATCAATTAGTGAAGAAAACAATCAAAATATCATGTCAAAGTTGTCAGTTATAACTTAGCAATCTAATGAGAAACACAAATAAAAAACCTAGACAACGTCGCAAAAGATTTACCTGGATATGCGCATATCAATGTTGACATCACTGATCACCGTTGGTTCATAAAATGTAAATCCAAGGCTATGTCTTTTACCCCCAAGAATTATTTTTGCCCCCTTCAGATAAAGAGGAAATAAGTTGTGAGAATTATAACCATTTGTTACTAGACATATTTATCCACCTTGGAATATTTTTCAAAGAGCAAAAGAATTGTACGTTGTACATCTGAAAAAAATGAGAAAATATTTTGAATATAAATTTTTCTTTTCATACACCACAGCTATAAAGAACGATGGCCAATAGACAATTAAAAGACCTTGGTTTTTCATAATAACATTGTTTGTTCAATGTAACCAAACCCATCCTGTGGAATTAGACTCTGTTGCTGCTCAAGCATACAACACAGTAGCTTAACAAGCATCAGAGAAATGCCAACGAAGCCAAGAAAATGTCATAACCTCCACTCTAGACATAATCATAAATACATGGGGAGGAAATTATATGCACACAAAATTAGCTATCTTGGTTGAGGTTAGTGGTGGGGGAGAAAGATGTGCCCCACTCATCACTGCCACAAATAGTGTTGTTGGGATCTCCTAAGCCTATTTCAACGGGTGGTGACATTTCATATGATTCCAATTTGACTAGAACTCAATTTTTTCGGTTCTTTTGCCAAACAGGTTCTCTTTCTTACTAATCAAAGTTGATCCTTTATTATCTCTTTGTTGTTTTTTTTTAATGTCTGATATGAAAGCTCTTTTAAAAAGAAACTTAATCATTTGAGAACATGATTGAATCAATGACCAAGTCCTTTGGATCATATACCCTATCCATGAAAGGTAGGAGTGCATTCAATATTATGGCCCAATGTTCGGATTCTTGATTCAAGAATAACTAATCACATGACTCCTTTCCTAAACTATAAAATAGTTAACTCATTACAATTGCAAATGATTATAGTGTACCCATTCGGGGATATGGGAATGTAATTTTAGAATCATCTATGGTACTAAAGGATGTTTTATATGTTCTACTACTAACTCGACTCTATTCACTATATTGTTAGGGAACCTGTTTTAGAATATATTTATGGAGAAAAATGGTTTGTTACTATTATTGATACTTGTGCTCATGTCACATTGACATACATTATGCATGGTACTAAATATGTGAATCATGAATTCTCCTTATTTGTCTCATAATGGTATTGTTCATGAGTTAAAATATGTGAACATTTCACAATAAAATGGAGTTGTAAAAAACAAAAATTGACACGTTCTACATTTCTGTTAGGGTACAAGGTATATGAGAGAAAAAGGTATAGGAGAGAAGGAGAAGGCCGAACGGTTGGAAAAGGAGAGAGGTCAGGCCGAAAGGTGGAAGGCAGGGAGAGGTCAAGCTAAACGGTGGAAGGCAAGGAGAGGTCATGCCGAATGGTGGAAGGCGGTGAGGAGTCGAGCCGAACGGCTGAAGGCGGTGAGAGCTCGAGCCAAACGGCGGGAAGCAGCAAAGAACATGAGCCGATCGGTTGAAGAAGTTACTATCCTAACTGCTCGCAGTTAGGATATGCGGGAAATATTTAGTATAGAGCGATATTCAAGGAAATATATTCTAGGGAAAGATTTTATTCAAGGGAATATTTTATTCTAGGAAAATATTTCATTTAGAACAATATTCATATTTTATTCTAGGGAAAAATTTTATTCTAGGAAATATTTTATTCTAAGGAAATATTTTATTTAGGAAATAATTAGTATAAATAAGGCTAGAGGCTATTGTTAGGGTCATGCTTTTGATTATTGAGTTTTGTTGACAGACAGTTATGCGTCCTGTGAGGGAGGTTATGCTCCCAAGTAATTGAAGGAGGTTATGCTCCCAATTATTGTTTACTTTTGTTAATTCAGATATTACCATCAATAAAAGAGATTCATTCGTTCATTATCATTCAGTCATTGTCTTTTCTACCTAATGTGATCGTGATTAATTACGTCTCCAACTCGGATACGTAACAATTTCACTGATTTTGTCTCGACCTTTTAGAAAATGGGGAACAATTAAACAACAAGAAAGGGTGGAAGATTACATTCAAGAATTTGGAGTGGGTAACAACAATAGGAGTGAATTTTTATATGCTATTGGTAATAATATGCACGTGGATATTCTTTATATCCGTAAAGATATTGGCATTCTTGAGGGTGGATTTGATTTCTTGGCACCAACAGCTGGGGGAAATGCACGGAGAGTTTTACTTAAGAGTTTGATTGTCATTTCATTCGAGAAAAGATGGTATCTAGAGACATAAGATTGAATTCATCACTCAAATGATCAGTTAGCAGATATTTTCACTAAGTTTTTACCGGGACTTGATTATATTTGTAACAAGTTTGGTACATACAATTTATATGCACCATCTTGAGAGAAAGTGTTATATATATTGCATTTTATGTTAATTAGGGAAACATAGTCCCTATGTTAATTATGTTATTTTTACATATTCATTTGTATTTGGGCTTAACCTACATTCTCATTATTATAAATACATTACCCTATGTGTATTTTTTACACAAGAGAGATTAATCCTATACCTAGTTTTTATTATATTCAATACAAAGGATACAAAAACTTATGGAATTGACTATAAGAAGACTTTTTGTCCTATAACAAAGATGAACACAATTTGAGTTGTTCTTACTCTGGCAGCTCATATTGGGTTAGACCATATGAATGTGAAGAATTTCTTAGTTCATGGAGATTCCTTCCAAATTTGAAACTCAATGGAAGGAATAAGGCATGACTCCTAAAGAATGCCTTTATGGTCTTAAACAATCTCTAAGAGCATAATTTGGGATATTTACAAAAGTAATGGTTTCTTTAGGATATAAACAAAGTCAAGTAGATCATACTTTAATCACAAAAGACTCCCTTACAAGTATAAACTTCACAACTGGTTGTCAATGTCAATGACATGATTATTGCAAGAGATGATGAAATAGAGAAATTGGCTTTAAAGGAAACATTAGTAGCTTGATTGAAAATGAGAGACTTGAGAAAACTTAAGTACTTCCTTGGAACAGATGTTGCTTATCCAAGGAAAGAAGATATTTATCTCCCAAAATAAATATGTACTTGAACTCCTCGAAGAAACAATTAAGCTAGGATGTAAAACTTCAGGAGTTTCTATTCAACAAAATCATAAAATTGGAAGTGAAGAGACTTCTGTAGAAAAAACACAATATTAAAGATTGGTAGGAAAACTTGTTTATTTTTCTCCTTTATGTTATAACGAAACTCATCCACTGAATTAACAAAATGTATATTCTCGGAACAGCAACGACAAACAAAAGCCATTAACCACAACAAGCTTTGTAGTGACTATGAAGAACAAGCCATTAATACCAAAGGAAGAGAGAACCATTCATTCCAATAGCAAAAGATTATATAAATAATATTTTTTCCAATATTCAAGCAACAAGCTTCACCATCCAACAGAGATGCTGACATATTTATCAGTTTAGCTTTTAAAGACCACATACAAATCCTACATGTACCACTATGCGGTAGTCAGTCCTATCACAAAGTAAAATATTTGGTGCCGTCACAGGATGAAGATATATGACATGTTGATAAGTGAAAAGATAAAGTTCGGATTTTAATAGGAACTGGTTAACCAAACCTCAAAATAATTTTCGATGATAACAATTTCAACAAGACTTCTATGCTTATAAAGTCAATAAAATCTGGTTCAGTAACAGTTCAGTTTAGTTTTAACTCAGAATTGACCATGCCCAGCCTTACATAGAGGGGAGCCAGGGCAGTTAAAGCAAATAATCACATGGAGGAATAGCAAAGACAACAAACCTTTGATGTAGCATCATGAATTAAGGACTCCACCTGTAAGTAAAAATCATAAAGCAAAAAAAAAATTGTTCCTATCAGTTGGAGGAGACCCTCTAACAATACAAAAAGAAAATGAAATATTAAGAGAAACACAAACCTTTTGCACAGCAGCTTCATTGATTAGAGGGCCCTGTTTAGAGATGGATATGAAATTGAGTTACACCATGACTCATTTTCTCTAAATTTAGGAGAGGACTCTACAGAGTAATGACACTCAATATATTATATATATAAAGGAAATATTGGAAAGGAAAGTAATTATTTATCAAACAGCACCTGAATTCTATTTGAATGAAAATTATCCCCACTAAGTTGGAAAAGCGTAGACAGTGGGTTCAAATGAAAATTATCCCCACTAACATAAAAAATTAAAACAAAAACAGACCAACAACTACCTGTGCCACATCTTCACTAAAACCATCCCCAACTTTCATATTCAGAACAGCATCACGGAGTGCATTTGCAAATTTTTCATATATACCTTCACAAAGAAAAGATTAAGTAAAACATAAATCAAAGAGTACCAAAACAAATAATGTACTAATTTGTGTGAACTTCAAACAGAAAACAAAACCATCAAAAGGAATATAAAATTCTTCGGAGAGAAATCTCATAAGAATGTCACTGCAATTATCATTATTGTTTATCTTGGGTTCTCCTGTTTTTGTTTCTGAAATTTTTATTTTTCAAAACGTAACAAATTCAATGTCATATCATGAGATCATAAATAAAAATCCATTCACACAGTAGCCGTGATCAATAAGACTAATGATTACGGTATTGAAAGGTTACAAAAGGCTAGTAAGAATCCAGTAAAGTTTCACAATGTCATCATGATCATATCAAGAACACTGATATAAAAGAACACTTTTTGTCAAAAAGATAGTACATTTCGGAAACTCATACTATTAAGGAGAAGGAGCTTAATCAAATGGATTAGCAAACAAAAAAGTATCAAATTCTCTTAAAAGTTTTCATAAATTGGGAATCATAAACATACAACATTAATACATTTGAATGAGAAGTTTCAAGAGCTGACAGATGTAATTGCAAAAAAATTGACAGTTTACTATCTTTTAAATCTAACCATCTTGTACAATAATTCTATTTGCACAAACGCATGTTTGTCCACTATTACGGAACTTCGCTGCAAGCTGCAATCAAATTAATGACATCTTATAATTAGTGTATTATCATAACTGAAGAACGGACAATTACAACATGCCACTTAACTTTCAGTTTTAGAGACTAACAAAATTTGGAAGCTTATATTCAATTTTTTAACATTTTTATAAGCTTTGTTGGTTTTTACCATGCCATCCCATGGTCAACTTGCCCAACCACAAATCCATTGCTGATTATTATAATAAACAAAATATTCCTTGCACAGAAACCATAATCTTCAAAAAACAGAAATTCCACATAAACACTCCAAAACTGCTCAAATTAAACTGGGGAGGTTTCCCCCATATTGTGGGAGTTCTGTTCATTTGATAGATATAGAGAGCACGTTATTTTATAGCACATATTAAAATCTCAAACATGATTAATAAATAATATTCTACTAAAATTTTTGAAGGAAATAAAATCTACAAAATGGATAAAAATCACAAAAAGGCTAGTGAAAAGACAGTTTAATTAAAAAAATCACTTCACCAGCCCAATACATCATGCTAGATAATACCTGAAACAAAAGAACACATACTTAAACTTCATCAGCTAACTTAAACTTCATCAGCTAACAGTTGCACAACGAAAAATCTAGTCAAGGTGATCAGATGACTAGAAGATAACAATATGAACTTGTCTTTGTAATGTGGGTATTTAAACTTAAGTTGGTCTTTTACCACTTATTGTAAGAAACAGGAAGCAAGGATCACTAGTTCTAGACTCAAGTAATTTGAATAACAAACATAAAAGTTATGCTGTGGCAGAAATAATGAACGATAAGACCTACATTGCCTTAAAAATATTGAGCTATTTAACACTAGCATGAATGGTATCAGTAATCCACTACTAAAATTGAAACTACCTAGTCAAACAGGCCTCAGTCATCAAGCCAAGACCAATAATAATCATACTGGTAATTGGAGTTTCTGGAAACATAAAATGTACATAATTTGAAGTTCCTATTAAATGATGCTTGAGTCGATAAATTCCACCTGTCAATACTTTTTCACAGTATTTACATTTCAGATTTCTTGTTTTCCCATCAATAGAAACACAATGACTCCTTGCAGGATAAGTCCTAACTCCAATTCCACTTCCACTTCGAGTGTCACCTGATGCCATTTTTTCTTCAAATACAAACTAAAGAAATGTGAATGGTGAGGAGAAAAAGAAAGACGCAAGGAGAAAAAATGGAGAAGAACAATAGTTGTAAGGGTCACGATCATCACGATGACTGTTGGCGATGAGTTTCAACAACGTAGGTGGATGTTGTAGAAAGCTCGTATGACTCGTGAGTTTTCTCCTTTTATGTGCAAAGTGAGGTGTCTATTCTTTTGGTGAGTTGTGGACCCTTAACCCTTGTTGGGAACCCAAGTGTAGCACAAGGTGAAGACCCATTAACTCATTGTCTTAAGGTTTTGAGTTGAGAGTGTTGTATCTCCCAGTGAACCCCCTCCACCTCGATAAACCTAAGAAGTGGTATCAAAGTCGATGGTTAGTCTTGGTGACTGGCTCAGTGAGTATAATAGTCCCTGTATCGAAAGTCTTCTTGGCAAGAGTTCCAAGTAAGTGTGTCCCGTTAAAGATGAACGACAATACGAGAAGGGGTACTCGTGGTTGGGAATGCTTTTGCTGGAGGGGGAGTGTACCAATGTGGAAGGGACTCATCCATAAGGGAAAGATTTGTTGGGAATCCAAGTGTGAGTCTAAGTCTCACATTGGACAAAAATGAGAAAGTGGAGCACCAGATAAAGGTGAAACCCATTGCCTTAAGGTTTTGGGTTGAGAGTGGTGTCAATCCCTTATGTGATTGCGCTCACGTCTCATTGGTATTGTATCTCCCCAGTGAACCCCCACCCCTCATAAACCCAACAAACCCTGACAAAAAAGAGGGAAAGATAAGTGTTAGCGAACTTATTATTTGGGCTAGGTTAGTTTTTTATTAAAACTGGATCAGGTCACTTTCTTTTAAAACATGGTCAAGTCATCATAGTAATAAAACATGATATCTAACTCCAATATCACAGCACCATGAAGATGGAGAAGGTGCACCAAGAAGATCGACACGACGAACGATCCTTCGATCCAACGAGCTACCTCAGAAGATCACTTCGATCTAGGAAGCTTTCAATCTGATCTCCGCATCAACTCGCTTGCAGGTGAAAACTCGCAGAATCGTGCAAGTACGCGATCTAGATCGCAATTTTAACAACATTGGTCCTCACTATTACCTGAGACAAGGGATGGCAATTAAACCAATACATCTATGTAATATCAAAACTTGTCCCAACATTGATGGTACTAGACTTGATATCTTAGTGACAATTTTGTAAGATTGAGTTAGTTCCACTACCTGAATATGGTACTAGAGTCAATGGTTTGTCTTGATATCTTAGTGACAACATTGGTCCTCACTATTACCTCAGGCAAGACATGGCAATTAAACTAATACATGTGGGTAATATCAAAACTTGTCCCAACATTGATGGTACTAGACTTGATATCTTCGTGACAATTTTGTAAGATTGAGTAAGACTTAAATTCCGCTACGTGAATATGGTACTAGAGTCAATGGTTTGTCTTGGTAACCAACTCAAAAATGTTGAAGTATAGTGTCTTTATTATTATTAATATTTATGTTAGGGATTTGTTAGGGGCTTCCCGCCCTTTTATATTTCAGAACTACTGTCTCCTATAAATACAGTAGTAAGTTGTATTAGGCTCATTACGTGAAAAATATAAGACTTTTCATCTTCTCTCAACTCTTCAAGTTGGTATCAAGAGCCAGACCTTTGTGTCTTCTTTGTCTACCGTCGGCGGCATCATCTTTGTCATTTCTGCCGTTCACTCCGCTGTCCGCTGTCCGTTGTCGTCGTCGTCGCCACTGTCCGCCGCCGCCAAGCGTCGCTTTCTCCGGCGAAGTCAAGGGTTACGTGCGCCTTGAGAAGCGCAACCCAACCCTGGTGGTCCCGTCTTCCGAAGCCTCCGCACCAGTCGCCACGCGCCGCTTCTTTTCGGCCATTCTCCGCCGCGAGTTCCCCACGCGCCGCCTTCCCGGTGGAAATGACAGCATTAGAGAAGAATAACACTTGGGAAATTGTGGATAAACCCAAAGAAAAGAATATTGTTGACTGTAAGTGGATATTCACAGTAAAATATAATGCTGATGGGTCACTTGAACGATACAAAGCAAGATTGGTGGCCAAAGGATACACTCAAGCATATGGAATAGACTATGAAGAAAAGTTTGCACCAGTTGCTAAAATGAATACTCTAAGGATTCTTCTATCCTTAGCTGCTCATTTTGATTGGAAACTACTACAGTATGATGTTAAAAATGCCTTTCTTCATGGAGACCTAGAGGAAGAAATCTACATGAAAATCCCACAGGGGGTTGAAGGAGATAGACAAAATAAGGTGTGCAGACTTAAGAAGGCACTATATGGACTGAAACAATCTCCTAAAGCATGGTTTGGGAGGTTCTCAAAAGTTATGAAGGGATTTGGCTACAAACAAAGCCAAGGAGACCACACGTTGTTCATAAAACATTCAGAAAAGGGGAAGGTAACAGTTCTTCTGGTGTATGTGGATGATATTATAGCAACTGGGAATGATGAAAAAGAAAAGGAAAAATTGAAACAAAGACTAGTCCAAGAATTTGATCTCAAAGAGCTTGGAAACTGAAATATTTTCTAGGAATTGAAGTAGCATACTCTACCCAAGGAATCTTTATATCCCAACAAAAATACATAACCGATTTGTTGGCTGAGACAAAGACTATTGGATGCAGACCCGCAACAACTCCAATGGACCCCAATCACAAACTGAGTAAATCTGGAGATGAACCAGAAGTAGAAAAAAGGATGTACCTGAGGCTGGTTGGAAAATTAATATATTTGGCACATACCCGACCAGATATTGCCCATTCGGTAAGTGTAATAAGTCAGTTTATGCATGAACCAAAGGAGTCTCACCTTCAAGCTGCCTAAAGGATTCTACATTACTTAAAAGGCACTCCCGGAAAGGGAATCCTATTCAAGAAGAATGAAAAATTGAACCTTGAAGCCTACACCGATGCAGACTATGCAAGATCTCTAATTAATAGAAGATCGACTACTGGATATTGTACTTTCCTAGGTGGAAATTTAGTAACTTGAAGAAGTAAAAAACAGAATGTAGTGTCTAGATCATCAGCTGAATCAAAGTTCAGAGCACTTGCTCAAGGAATATGTGAATTATTATGGATAAAAATTATTCTGGATGATTTGAAAGTTGATTTGAAGGGTCCCATGAAACTGTATTGTGATAATAAATCAGCAATAGAAATTGCACATAATACGGTTCAACATGACCGGACAAAACACGTTGAAATAGATAGAAACTTCATCAAAGAAAAAGTAGACGAAGGTCTATTATGCATGGTGTATGTCCCATCCAGGCAACAAGTAGCTTATGTGTTAACAAAAGGTCTCAATAGCCCTATCTTCCAAGATCTTATAAGCAAGCTGGAAATGACCAATATCTATTCCTCAGCTTGAGGGGGGTGTCAGAATATGTGAATTTATTGCACAATTAATATAGCAATTATGTGTAATCCTGCAATTATGTGTAATCCCTAAAATTAAGGGATTAGGATTAGTAATTATTGGGCAGATTTCCTTTTATTAAGATCAGGTATTATTGGGTAGATATCTCCTGATTTAGAGACTTTATTTCAGGAGATTTTTTACCTTAATTAGACAATAGTTTGTTTCTTTTTAAACACTTATGTATTGTTTCAAAAGTATGAATGAGAGAATAATTAATTCCAGCATCCTACTACTGTTTTACAACAATTTTTTACCTTAATTAGACAATAGTTTGTTTCTTTTTAAACACCTATGTATTGTTTCAAAAGCATGAATGAGAGAATAATTAATTCCAGCATCCTACTACTGTTTTACAACAATGTCAAATCTCACCAATTAGAAAAAGACTAGAAAAAGACCCAACCAATGTTGAAGAGCCTACATCAACCAAGAGATAAGGCCAAATTATAGTAAATAACTAGATGCACATCTATCCTTACAAACTAGTTTTATATGATTGAATTAGGCTTAAATTACACTTTCTTAAGGTGTTATTAGAATTATTTAGAGTCTATCCTAGCAAGTTGTTCGGCCTCATGTCACATGTTCCTCGTCTCCCACACTCAGAGATGGTCAATCCTCAACATGAGGAGGTGTGTTGAAAAGTCCACCTCAACCAGAGATAAAATCAAATTATAATATATAAGCATGTGCAAATCTTACCTTACAAGTTGATTTTGTAGGATTGAGTTAAGCTTAAATTTCATTTTATTAATTGCATTATTTTTGTTTTTTCAATATAAATAAAGCCCATGGGCTGTCAAAGAAACACATGGTTTCAGCTCAAGTTTTTGTAGTTAAACAAGAACTCTACATTATTCCTGAGTCATTGTCAAATGGTTTCAAGCACTACATAGTAACCAAATTAGACCCAAAAAATCAACAAATATATTAAAAGAAAAACATTATTTCAGCCAACATGCATTCTCGTCATTTCTAGCTTACAGTTCCTTTTACTGCAACATCAAGGTCAGCATCATCAAAAACTATGCAAGGTGCATTGCCACCAAGTTCCAGAGATACCTAGAAATCCAAAAAACATGCATATAAGGGTAAAATATTCTTTTAAATATTAGATGCACAGACCCAGTATTTGAAGAAATTAATGACAAAATCAAAGCATACTTTTTTAACTGTCTCAGCTGAACCAGCCATTAATTTCTTTCCAACAGCTGTTGAGCCTGTGAATGTGATCTTCCTTACCTAAATAAGGTTGACAATTTCTTTCTCAAATATTCAATTACATTCACAAGGTAATTGCTTCATAAAATCAAATGGTCACTAAACCTGTGGACTTGCAAGCAAACTGTCTCCAATTTCAGGAGCATTTCCCATTACAACATTCACAACACCCTGTGTCATAAATACCACACCCATTAAAATCATAAACAAGGGTGAGAAGGATGAAAAAAAAAACACGGAAGGTTTATTATGGTAAAAGACTGGAAGAAGAAGACTCAAACATATAGCAACATAAGAAATGGGTAACTAAAGACTTTTGGAAAATTTACACAATCTAGTGGAAGAAACTAATGATGATTAGGGGTGTCCAAAGGAGCCAACTTAGTATTTCTCTTCTGAAGACCTACTTCACATACGCAACAAGTACATTGTACAGTACCAAAATATTAATAGTAAAACATTAAAGTTAGTAAAAGACAAAGGAAACAGAATAACTGCACACAGTTTAATATAATTTCCACATAAACACGTAGTAGATTACATTCCAAAGTATCAAAATGAACCACATACAAACATAACAATCAAGCTGTTGATTTATGATAAAATAACAATTTTCAATCAATTTAATTACAAAATTACAAAATTACAAAACATCACACCGAAAAAGATGGAGCCTTAGCAAAATATGCAATGAAATTTCATTACTGTCATAAAGATATCTTTAAGAAACTACCGCTGGTATTCCAGCTTGAATGGAGAGTTCTGCAGCAGCTAAAGCAGTGAGAGGTGTAAGTTCAGAGGGTTTTATCACCACTGTACAGCCACATGCAAGGGCTGGACCAACCTGATATATTAGAATGGGCCAAAAACTTGTAAAATCACTTAAAAGTAAAAATGGGTCAAATTTGGCTGTGAAGATTCAAAACTAAAGATACCTTTCGAGTAATCATAGCAAGGGGAAAGTTCCAAGGTGTAATTGCACCTACAACCCCTACAGGCTGCAAATTCCAAAGACATTAACATAATCCATCTACATAAATACTAGGAATCAGGACTATCAAGCTGATTAGAATCGGTAAAATCAAATTCTAGAACTTCCAGTATAAAGGACAACTGGAACAATAATTTCCCGCTGCATTCACATGCACTAAATTATTGGAAATCAAGACAAAAATATATGTTTCATTTGCTGAGGAAAAAGCTTCCTCAACAATCACAAGAATATTCCTTTTATTAAGAAGTGGACTTTAAACATAACTCAACCATATAAAACCAGTTTAAGGTGAATTTTGCACCCACTTATATATTATAAACTCATCTTATTCTAGTTAATGTGAGACTTCCAATACACCGCCTTCACACTGATGTATATTCATATCAAGTATAGAACTAGACATTATATCGGCTTGATAGCGAGTGGAACAATAGATCAAACAAACATCAAAATTTGCCAAGATAGGCTCTAATCCATCGATCATGTTAAGAAGTAGACTTTAAGCCTAACTCAACCCCACAAAATCGGCTTATAAGATAAGATTTGTACCCACTTATATATTATAAACTCGCCTTAGCGCTAGTCGATGTTTAATTTCCAACACCTTTCAAATACAGATGTATAAAAATATAGCTACAACCTAATGTCATTTCTTTTAATAAGAGGGGAGTATACTTTCCATTTGTGTGCCTCCTTGGATCCTACTTGACATATGACCTAAAATAAAATATTCAGTCACACTTGAACAATGGCATATTTTGGCTTTATTAATAGCCATTTTTCACATCAATATAATTTAGAAGCACCATTTCCCATTTTCTTCTACTAGAACATAGGAAATGGAGGGGTGGAAGAGAACTTAATTCGTACAAAAAGAATTTGTATATCTCACTTTTAGTACAATAAAAAACAAAGTTACAGTCTTAGTACAAAAATTTTAATTCCGTTAGTTTTATATTTAACCAATTAATGGTTAAGTTAAAGTAGTTAAACACATGTTTGGTCTTTTGTAAATGCCGTGTGTGTTTATTAAAGGAAAAATTAAATTAATATGCAATTATCCTTGAAAGGACTTCCTTTTTGCTTTGTAAATTTGAAAATCTTTAGTGATTCATTTAAGAATAATTGCATATTAACATAATTTTTTCCTTTAATAAATGCACATGACCAATACTAAATACCAAACACATGCTCAATTATACTAAATATACAAAGTTCAAACAAAACTAACAGAATTAAAATTGTTATAATAAGACTAGTTTTTCTTTTTCTTATTGCATTAAGATCACATGTTAATATTTACCATACTGAACTAACTATATACCCTAAATAAATAAGGCTATGTTGTTAGTCTGTGAAATTTAAGGTAATTCTGGTTATGCACTCAAATTTAAACAACTTTTTTAATCCTCAAAATTGGAAAAAGAATATGATTTTAGTCCCTAAACACTAAATTTGAGGCATTAAAATGAATTTTTAAGGGATTAGGGTTTGAGATTTAAAATTTAAAACCATTTTTAGTCCCTCAAATTTAGTACTTAAAAACAAACCCTATTTCAATAAATTTGAGGAAACAAAAAAGAACCTTTTTATTTGACGGACTAAAAGGGGATTTACCCAAATTTCAAAACCTAAGAACATAATTAAACCATAAAACAAACAGGGAAAATAAAGACAACAATTAAATAGAGCTCTCAATCCCAATATGTATATATTAAGGAGACTTCAATAAAGAGACTTTTTGAAGCCACAATCAGAAATAAAATATCAGTTGTGAAAGAAACACGAATGATGAAAATGTCACTATTATGAATGCATCAAATGGAAATACAATAGAATAAAAGTTCCTACTGCCAAGAGCTAGGGCCCTTTGAAGCTACAAATGCTCCCCACCCATGAATAACTATCCAAAACATGTAATGCCCCCTCTTATACCACTAAGAACCTTATAACAGAATTTTCTTCACAACCAATCCACTACTCATTCTCCTTCTCTACCCCCAATAATTATTACCTATTTCCCTTCCTGTTTGATCTGGAATAAACTCTCCACATTGCTGACCAAGAGACTGGACCTGAGTCCACAAATGGGGTCCTAACATTGTCACTTCTTGAACAACATTCATGTCCTCAGGTATAAAACGTTGAATCTGACTCCAAAAATTGAACACCTTCGCCCAAATGACTTCTTCAAAAGCACCAACAATTGGGAACTAAATCCCCTGCTTTGGTTATGCTACAAGCTGCCACTATTGCCTCCGAATCAAAGGAACCTTCTGTGTCACCCTTCAAATCAGTAGGCTGATCCTCTTCAACTATAAAACTTCTAACAACCTTCTTTAACAAATAAACATGGAATACTGGATTAATCCGACAACTGAATTTTGTCCGCCACTGTTCCTATTCTTTCAATAATTTGGAAAGGACCATGGTACCAAGGAGCAAAGTTGGAAATGCAAGCTTCAACTGTTTTATGCCCATGGGGCCATAAGATGAGAAAAACAAATCTGCTAACTCAAAAACTCAAAGCATCCTCCCAAATTGAGTTATCCAACACATAGAACCAATTTGTTAGAAACCACAATCAGAAATAAAAGATCAGTGGTGGAATCAGGAAAATGAGTGTATTATGAATGCATAAGAGGAAATGCAATAGAATTGAAAATCCTACTGCCAAATGCTAGGCTCCTTCAAAGGAACAAATGCTCTTTACCAATAACTAACTATCCACAATCGTTAATGTCCCCTCTCATCCCAGTGACCTTCACAACCAACCCACAACTCACTCTCACTACTACCTCAGCAATTGCTCCATGCTTCCCTTCCTATTACTTTAGTAATAAACTCTTCATATTATGGGCCTAGTGACTGGGCCGGAGTCCACGACTAAGGTCCTAACAAAGACCGTGGGCCATATAGTGGTCATAAAAAGGATTTTGATTCATGACATGTTTAAGCTGAGAAGAATCCTTAAAGATGATAGACATTTCATCTAAACCAAATGCACCATAGAGTGGCATAGAAAGCCAAATCCCATTATCCCCTAAGCCATACCTTATTGGTTAATGTATAATAAAATTGCTGAAATAAAAATTTAAGACACCGAGTCTACCTGCTTAAGAACAAACAATCTCCGATCAGATAAAGGTGCAGGAATTATATCCCCATATACACGTTTTGCCTCCTCAGCTGAAAACTCAATAAATCCAGCCCCATAGTTTATCTGTAAAATAGTAAGTTACATATATATTGTAACCATAATGAAATTCAATCAGGGAAAATACATAAGAAAGAAAAGGAAAAACAATTGGCCAAGTACCAAACGATAGAAGTTCACCCATTATGTACCTCACCAATAGACTCTTTAAGAGTTTTCCCCTGCTCCAAGGTTATAAGTTGTGCAAGTTCTTCTTTATGTGCCATTAGCAAATCATACCTTGAAAATTGAAGAGAAAATTAACAAGACGTAACTATTATCACAAAAAAAAAATACAAAATCGGGAACTTCCATCATGATAGGTCAAGCTATATTGCATAGAAACATATGCAGGCTTCATGAACTCATGAAATCAAAAGAGAAAAACCATACCATTTCCTCAAAAATTTGCTTCTTTCAGCAGCAGTGGTTTTGCTCCATGCTACAGAGGAAATTTTAGTCATCATAATATTATCATGGTCCAAAATGGCAGGATTTCATCTTTTGCTCAGAGAACCAAGAACTAATACATCATTAATATATTAGCAAAGGGTATGACTATTGTTAAACAATAAGAATAGAGAGGCATCGTTTTAAATAAATGTTAGATATTACTATGAACCTTGGCATCCCAGAGAGGCTGGCACCCCAACACTCAACAAGCATATGCCATCACAAGGAAAGCTATATACAAATGGGAAAAAAACATACAAAAACATGGAGGGACCAAACTAAACTCATGCTCAAAAGCAAACGACCATTATCCCACAAAGGGTACAGCTAAAAACCAAAATCAAGGAGTTCGTTAAAAAAAATCTAAACTAATAACACGAAGAATGAAACTAAACCACTTAAAAAATAGTCTATCATAAATCCCAAGATTTGCCAAATCACCAACACAATGATTGTCTTCCCAATAAATACGAGAGACCTTAAAGTTCATATCTATTAGGTTTCTTGGTATCAACAAACCTAGATACTATCTCAAAATAAATAATCACAACAGGTTTATGAATTCTCACAGTGAGAAACAGTTTTATTGAATGGAAAAACATTGAAAGCAATCAACAACAGTCAAGGGAAAACATTCCCTTACACAAGACAGATCCTATTTCTGAAATAAACACTCAACAACCAACCAAAATACACACCCACCTCCTTAAAAGACATAAACAAAACATAACTGACAAAGCAAATTGTCAACAACCAAAGAAAACTACCCCTAACGGCTATGAAACTCCTCCTAACTCCCCCAACCACCACTTACTAACTATCGTGTTTATTTTTTCTAATGTAAACCTTCCAAGACCTATCAATACTGCCAGGGGTCTGAAAAACCTTGTCCTCAAAGTTGAAATCAAGAAATTGATCTCTATTCAGTGCTTCTTCCTCTCAAATTGCGTTGTCAGGACCCCCTCCTTCATTCAACATGTACATATGGAACATTGAGGCCTTGCAAAGAGCGATCAAAAACCTTGAGAGGGACACAACTTGACTCCTTGTACTGCAGCTCACCTGGAGATTCCTACTCTACAGTGAAATGGTGATTCTCCACCACGAGCTTAAGTTGGGAAACATGAAAAACTGGATGTATCCTTGCATATTCTGGCAATTGAAAACGAAAAGTGACCTGACCAACCTGCTTTAGGACTAGAAAAGGCCCATAATACCTGGGTGCAAGTTTAGGATGTAATCTGGTCGGCATAGACATCTGTCTGTGAAGTCGAATCTTCAAAAGTACCCAATCTCCCACCTGAATTGTAGTTGCCCGCCTTTTCTTATTAGAAAATTTCACCATCTGAGCTTGGACTCGTCCAAGGTGAAATTTCAGTTGCTTAAGTGCCTTATGCCTGTCCTTAAGGTCCTGCGCTACTGCTTCAATTGACGTTTCACCGGGAACAAAACGGGACATGGAAGGAGGTGGACGGCCATAAACTATTTCAAAAGGTGTAAACTTGGTTGATGCCTGAAAACTGGTATTGTACCAATATTCAACCCATGGAATAAAGAAATTCAAGTCTTTGGTTGTTCAGAACTTTTGAGCAAGATAATGTTTAGTTGGACAACACCATCCTTATCATTATCTATGATAACTATGTCATCCACGTAAACAATAAGATAGATACATCCTTAGGGAGAATGACGATAAGATATAGAATGGTCAGCCTAACTTCATATCGTTCCAAATCATTGGATGACAATCTGAAAATTCCCAAACCATTCCCAAGATGATTGCTTGAGGCCACATAGGGACTTGTGAAGATGACATCATATCATTCCCCTGGAGTACAAACTCAGGTGGTTGTTCCATGCAAACTTTCTTACAAAGATCACCACATAGAAATGTATTCTTAATGTGAAGTTGAAACAGTCCAATCATAAATAGTTGCATTGGAGAAAAAAAGTCGAAATATATAATTTTGGCAATAGAAGAGAAAATATCAATAATCTTGGTCATAGATTTGTGTGTATCCTTTGGCAACTAGATATACAACGATCAACTTTATATTAGGTCTTCTTGGAACATTGTACAACCACCAACTCCTAAAACAGTATTTGTTAGCTACAAGAGGAATCAACTCCCAAGTACCACTACTTTGAAGGGCATGCATTAATTATTGTTTGTCACCATTTCAGGTGAGATTAAACTTCACTTGAAAACTTAGGAATTGGAACAGAAATTAACAAGACTGAACAAGTATAATGTATGATAGAAAGTAATGATAATTGAGTTATGAGTAGAACGTGTACCTTTATGAGTAGTAATTGGCCAATCATTTCAAAGGAGAGCGGATTTAGTACAAGGGATGGCCTCCTATATCATTATGTCAAAAATGGGTCATGTACTAGAATTTCAACAGGTCACAAATGACATTGATATACCCCCATCAAGGTATTGGAAGAGCATCCTGATTTAAGGCAGATTCATGTGAACATTGATAGTAGTGGGGAAGTAAATAAGTCACCATTAGAAGAAACAGGTGTATGGTACAAAATAGACTCAAAGAAAGACATAAGCAAACACAACATACTAATTAAGATTAGGAGAGAAACTTCAATACCATTGTTGTAAACAATGATATCCCACAATGACACATTTGAACAATCGAGGAGAAAGTTTCTCTTTGACCAAGTATGAGGTTATGTACAAAACATGTGGAAGAAGACAGTATAGAGGACAATGAAGAAAAGAGACAACATGGGGTACCCTATAAATTAGGACAGTTGATGACATCTAGTTGTGAGATAACATGTTCTAAGGACAACCACCTTCCAAAAACAATGAGAAAGATGACTATGAAGAAGTGTCCGAGTAGTTTCTATAAGATGTTTGTTTTCAAGTTCAACCACTTCATTTTGTTGAGGGCTATGAGGACAAGAAGTTCGATGAAAAATACCATTAGATGTCATGAACTACTGGAATTGATGAGACAATAATTCACGGGCATTGTCACTACTAAAACAAAATGTATGAATATACAAAATTGTGTTTTGATTTCTAAAAGAAATCTAAAATATAGAAAACGCCTTTTATCGATTTTTCATAGCCAAATTCAAGTACATCTAGAATACTCATTAATTAAGGTAACAAAATATTTGAAACCACAAGGAATAACAATATGTGAAGGACCCCAAATATTAGAGTGAACTAGTTAAAAAGGAGACAAAACTAGTTTATTCAGTGTCGCAAAAGACTGACAAATATGTTTTCTTAACTAACATGACTCACAATTCAAACTAAACAAATGTTCCACACTCAACACCATCTTCTGAAATTTTGTCAACTCAAGGTCTCTTAATTGTGTGCATGAACTATCATTGAGAGACCATCATGCCTAATATCTAGTCTAGCAATGTAACTTATTTCTATTGAAAGTGAAGATAATGTCATTGAATTGGGTCAATCGAATGTTAGACTGTAAATTACAAGGATAGTTAGGGGCATAAAGAACAAAGTCAACAAAAAAGGATGGACCAGGTTGGGTAGTACCAATGCTACAGGTTTGTGTTTGTCAACCATTAATAAAAGTTATAACAGGAAAATTTATAGCAGTCGTAGTAGTAGTAGTAAAGGAGGAGGAAAGAGAATGATTACTAGATATACAATCAGTTCCACTAAAGTCAATGACCTAAGGACAAAGAGAAGGACAGGGAGAGTGACAACCAAATGAATTACTCATGTTCTTAAACTCATACTTAATCGTTGCAATATTCCTTCTGTCAATAAAAAAAAGTTATTGATTTATGGTCTTCTTGTTGTAAAGGGAAGTCCCATAGACTTCCTTCTTCTACCTCTAAAACTGTTTACACAACTCCTTTGTACTTAAGTTTTACTAAGCTCTAGGGACCATCGCATTTTGGTTACACATACTATGTTACCTTTGTTGATGCACATTCTAAGTTCACAAGGATTTATCTTTTAAAGTCCAGATCTGTAACTCTTTCAGTTTTTCAACATTTCGAAAAATAAAGAATATAAAAGATATTATTTTCTCTCTATATATGTATATCTTTCCGTTACACTATCACAATATTCCCCTTTAGGTTGTTATTTCCAGCTGTCACTTTTCGGTGATTCTATTTTGGTTTTTGGTCTTTTTGCTTTCGAGGGTAGCTACTATAAATGCTCCCTTTGAATTCTGCTTTACGTATCACAGAAATGATAATATATTACATAGTTTCTTCTGGTTTTATCTTTCTCTGACAAGAGATAAACTATTATTTTGATAAACTTCACCACAAAGCTTAATGAAATACGATAAAAAGAGATTATAAAAATAAGCTATTTTCCAAACGCCCCTTATGTTTCTTAGGAAAGACATATTTAGTTTTGGTCACTACTTGTAGTCTGAAATATACCAAACTGAAAAGTTTCATAAAGAGCTCGAATAAGCTCCTTATTGGCTCCTCCAAATACACACACACCCTAAGTATCTTAGGAAACGGCATATATATTGAGGAATTTCTGTTAATATATTTTAATATTATCCTATATTTCTGTTCGTAGCTTAAAATATAACATACAGCATCAAACTGGGATGTTTCATACATCGATATGCAGTATAGGCAGCAGAAATTGCATCATTCGTCTCTCTTCCACCCATGCATGCCACATCTGCAATAGATTCACCAGTTGCTGGATTATAAACCTGCCACGGCATCAAATATATAAGATGCTAAAACAATAACACTATTAAAACAAAGAAATTTCAAGTAAAAAGCAGGCTGCATGGTTACACTACTATTATCAGTAACATTAATAGACCACGAAGCAGCAAGTACATGCTGCATCTCTTCCATTGCACTTTTCCAAAAAAACATTGGAAGAAGAATAAGAAGAGAAAAAAGAAAACATCAAGTATACCTTTATGGTTTTTCCATCATAAGCGTCACTCCATTTCCCTCCAATAAGGCCCTGAGTCCTCAGCAATCCAGAACTATTAAGCTTGGAAGCAACACTCTGTGCATCCATGCTCATCTGCCATTCAAATAAACCTGACCCATGAACAAGTAACAAGAATATCCCAAACAATAGTAATAAAATAACAAACACCCATTTATTAGGCTTAAGTATCTTTATTTTGGTCCTCTAATGATAATTACATCAAACTACTCATTCAAATATCAATTTTGGGCACAGAACTATTAACAATACTAATAAGAAATCAGATTCATGTCGCTCACACTTTAAACAAAGAATTAAATGTTGCTTGTAGTGTCGTCATTCAAACATGGATTATCCTATAATTGAAAATTGTTGACTTTCGTAATAATTACTTTAAGAGTCAATTGAAGAGTGATTGATTTCTAAGGACAATATAGTTGAAAATTATAGAATTTTACTTTAAACTCATTAAAAAGGTTAAGATAAGCGTAAAACTTCCGTTATATCAACATTATCCTCTTGAACAAATGGATGAAAATATGTCCAATGCAGGTAAAAAGATTGAAACTTTGTAATCAAATTCAAACATTAAGACACGGTGAGAAGTGGGTAGGTCAGAAAATGAAAACGGTGCAAAAGTGAAAAGACGGAAAGGGCTTGCCTTTCGGGTGAGAGGAAGAGAAGAGGACAGCATCTGCATCTGCATCTGCATCCGCATCTGAACAGAGAGAAGATGGGAAGGGCGAGAGAGAAGCTTTGACGATCGCAGTGCCATGCAGCAAAGGTTCCGTGCCGCCATTAGCGATTGTTTCTAATTGTCTTACGAAAATGAACCAGCAAGAGTGTCACAAAGGTTAATGTGGATGCATGATTGGTATAAGTTAATCTAAATATAAGGAATGAATGCCACAGATGTGGTGTTAATTGGGATCAGTACAACCGTTCCGGTTAAGTCCGCAACAGACAAGTTTTAGGTTGCTTTCCAGCGGCAAGTCGAAAGTAACCCAAATTTTGTGGATTACTTTGTCTTTTAAAAACAATTAGGTTGGTTATTTTATTCTGACACATGTGCTAAGTGTATTCACCGGTGATAAATATAAATAAAAAAATGTATTATAATAATTAGAGGAAAAAAAACACATGCGTCTGTTCACTTTTCTATTAATAATAAAAAAATCATTTTATCATATAATTATTTTAAAAAAATAGATATAAAATAACTAATATTTATAATTTTATTATATGTAATTAATTACATTTAAAACAATAATAAAATAATAGAAATAATCAAATAATAAAATAATTTATATAAACAATGATAAAAGAAAAGTTAAATAATGGTTAAAATGGGTCCTATTAATACAATTATACTATTAATTAAAGCATGTTATAATTGATATTAAAATAAAAGTTACATAGATATAATTTGTTTATATATCCTTATACTTCTCTAGACATAGATTTATATATTTTTTCAATATAACAAAATTAAGTCGCATATTCTAAGGATAGAATGTTTTGAACTCTTTATACAATTATAGGTAAATAAACACACAACCAACATCATAGAAACTTAACACTCACTTCCTACATATCACATAAGGCTTGACTTGCTTTACTACTAAAAGTGTAACATCTCAAATTAGTAAAACTTTTTTACTAATTAAAGCATCTCATAATTGATATTAAGCATAAAAACTACACAAGTATGTTTCATGTATACATTATTCCTCAATAATGTACAAAAGAAAGTTTTCAAAAACATAATACTTAAAGGAAAGAAAGAGAAAGTTTATGCAATACAGTAGAAACTAACTTAAGTAGTTTTCATTATCTACACTTCTCTAAGGCTATCTCACTACTAATGCACATCACTTACAATATCATATTAACATCAAAGGCACATATAAATGCAGCTTTGAAAACACACTTGAACAATATTTTTGAGTTTGTTTTTTCTTAAAAAATAACTTGACTAAGAAGTAATGATATATAAAGAACTAGACCTAAACATATGATGTGACCGAATGAAAAATATGAAGAAACGACTCAAAAAAGACTAAGCACATGTAAACATGTTATACAACACATTTAAGAGAATTTAGAAGACACAAAAAAGTAATCAAAACTACCAAAATAGAACTTGGAAAACATCAAGGACAATATTATTTAACTTTGACCTTTGTTGATTGTTTTACTCATAATTTTATACACGGAATTCCAAATGAGATTATTATTATTTTTGTTGGAAACTAAAATTAAATAGGACTTTCATTTGACTAAAAACACGTATTTTTTTGGAACTCTAAGCTAGATGCAGTTTTATTTTAAAAATCATCAACATTTACTGCTATAATTGTTTTGTGTGTAAGGGAGGTTGTTTTAGACCATTCAAAGATAGCAACAATAAGAGAATGTTAGGAAAACACAAGGAAAAATAAAGATAACCTAAGCTTGGATTGCCAAATTATGGAATAAGCTCCTCTAACCTATATAACCCAATGGGAGACTCCGAAATGGGTAGTGGTTTGCAAAAGCTTGATGTTGGTGAAAAATGGTGTTCATGTAGTCATTTTAATGTGATGAGATGACTTCTCCTCCTCTAAAATATAGGACTCAAGCAAGGGGAAGAGACCACTATGGCTAATGGCTCATAAGCTTTTAAAAGGTTTGCTCTCCAAGCTAGATTTTTACCCTAAATACATGTGTCTCCTTGGGGCCCAAATCCTCTGTGCCTAAAACCCTACACTATAATCCAAGACCTAAATACAAGATCCAAAAGAAACCTTAAACTACTCGGCCAATTATACAAGGCTTAAAATAAACCTAATCTAGTAAGAACTCATTTATGACCCATGATGATAAGAGTTTGGGTCCACCTTCCACAAATGACTCCAAGTCTTTTTTAATATGTTTGGCCATGACTAAGGGTATGTCATCATATTCTTTATTTCCCCTTTTCTCTCTTGTTTTTTCTCTTCCCTTCCCTCCAACTTCTCTTTAAGTATTTTGACTCCATTTCTCATCTCTTTTAGAATAGGATTGCATCTCATAATAGTTGAGAAACCAAGGACATTCCTATGTAATCAGATTTCCAAACAAAAAAAGTTATTATTTATTTTAATGATTCTTTATTATCTTCATTTTCTTATAATTTTGTCACCAATGTTAGTATGGTTAGTTAAGAAAAATTACCCTTTCAACTTGAATAAGCACATATTGAAATTTGGTTTTGTTAGGATACTTTATACTAGGTTCCTAAATTTGGGGTAACTTTGTGTTTGAACTATGACTTTCTTTGGAATAAAAAATTATAGATAGAGAAACTATTTATATTTTTGATAAAATATTAGGATAGATGATCTAAATGTGAAGGTGACTTATTTACAAAATTTTAGTTTTTATGCAGGGATGATGTCTTGTTTTACAATTGTTTGAATGCTTTGAAATTAAATGTTATTTAAGTTTTAATTAATAAATGATCGATTTTACAATGCTTACATTGAACACTCTCAATGAGAAACTTATTTAGTGGTTGGATTATGCTTGTTCGGGTATATAATTATTAGACTAAGTTTTGAATGAGTAAAGTTAATTTCTATACTTTTTCATATATTAATTTATGAATTTAATGTGAATGAAAACACACGTTGAATTTTAATAATTAAGGTTGAATCGGGATGCAAGAAATATGACAACTAAGCAAATTATAAATTATATTGATCATTTTGAACTATTTAAAAGTTTTATTTGTTAAAGTGGTTTTAAATAAAAAATTTGAAAACTGTTTTGTTTGCTCAAGTGAAAATAGTATTCCAACTCAACCTTATTTTTGGTCAATTTTTTGCTCAAACAAATTTATTTATTTATATATTTTCTTATTGTCTCTAATAAATTGTATGTGGTTTTTTTATTATAAATGTAAAGTGAATATTAATTTGCTTATTTAATTGATTTATGATTTTGTTCAGATCATGTATTGTATATGAAAGTGATTGTTTTAGACTATTAGTAATAACTCTATGAAATTTGTGATCACTTATATGATATGACATGATATTAAAACTATGGTTTGATTTGTGTATTGTGTTGTAACATAAATCTTATTTTGATGATAATTTAAGTCATATAAACTTTAATATTAGGTGGTAAAAAACTAAAGGAGAATTTTTACACTATAACATATGTGAATGCACCAACTTAGATTGTAATGAATGTTAAGTTATCCATTACCTATTTAGTTCACTTATAAATCTAACTAGTAGTTTAAATCAAATATTAGTTTTTTAATTGAACATAATTAATATAAGTCTTTCAGAAGATATCAATTGATATTTTATTTATTGAATATATTTAATGTATAAATTCATATATAATCTTTATAACTTTTTATATTGGTATATTAATGGAATTATGATTTTTGTATACTGATATATTAATGGAATTATGATTTTTGTATATTAGTGTATTAATGAAATTTAATTGTTTTTTTTATTAATCATAATATTTCCTTATATATATATATATATATATATATATATATATATATATAATTTGTATTTTAAAATCTTATATAATTATGTAAAAGGAGTTACAAAATTAATCAACATAGAAGTGAAAAGTAACACTTATTCCTAACATTAAATAGGAAAACATAATAATTTTTTTAAAGATAATTGGTTATATGGAATTTACTTGAATAGATAAAACACTAGATGTTTTATTAAGTAAAATTAAATAACGAGGATTCAAATATTTTTTTACAATAGAAAATGTTATATTATAAAATAACAAAATTTTAAACCTACGTAAAAAAAGATGTAAATTGAAATGCAGGACAAACGATTTTTATATATCTCTATAAAAGAAATTGAATTTTCCCATTAAAACACCTAACCTGAACACGGTGATTTTGACTCCATTTTGAAACTAAGAACCCGTTTGAAACGAAGCCTCAAAGATCAGTCTTTCATTTGTCAATCAATACAGCAAATTTAATCAAAATAAAATACAGAAGATTTAGGAAAATAAATATTTAACCAAAAAAAAAAAATGAAGAGTGAGTATTTGAGAAAGTCTAAGCATGGATGGGTTAAAGTTAATTTGTCGTTTTTTTTTAAATATTTTTTATTTAAAATAATAAAAAATATTAACTCAATCAAGAATTCTCTAACTGTTAAACTCCTGTATATTATTATTTCACTGGATCTTCAACAAGTTTCGAGTTTCTATAACTTAATTCCAGAAACTCAATTATAAAATTTTGGCAAAATCAAAGACTTGTAATAAAAAAGGTCAGTGTAAATGAAAACCTAAATAAAATTTCTTAAACGATTGAAAAAGTTATTCACATTCTGAAGTTTTAGCCAAATGCACCAAAACAAAAAGCGTGCCTAAGCTTTTCGGATAAGCAAACAAGCGTGCGTAATTGCATTGGCGTTATTTTGACTGTCTCTGTTTTGGGCACCTTTGCGTTCTTCTTCTGTGCTCTTTCTTTTCTTCAATTCACAGCAAAGTTAGAGAGCGAGAGGGAAAGCAACCGAATACGCTTGTAACTTCCCTAATTACAAATTCCCCATTTTCACTACGAATCTCGAGGGTTTTATTGGAATTGAAAGGTCTCTGATCGATTCTGATTCGGAAAATGGCTTCTTCAAGTGCAGCCGGTGCTGGATCCACCGATCCCACAGCTGCAAGAAGAAACACCAAGCGACCCAAGTGTAATGCACTCTGATCTCTCTGATCTATCGTCGTTTTTCGCCCTTTTAGCTCCGTTTTCAGTGACCCTTTTCTCTATTTTTGGTTTGTGATGGAACTTTCGTATTTATTTTTGTTTGAGTTAAATTGAGTATGTGTTCGGGGGAAAAGGGGTTTTGGGTTTTATTTAGGTGCTTGTGAAAGGTGTATCGCTTGTGATAGTTCTCGTGTTAGTATTTAGTGCCTGATTGTTCCTAAATTGATATAGCCTTTGATGGAG